TATTAATATTGTATAAAAATTAATATAAGGTTTTGTTGCAGTGTATACCCCTACCTCTGAGTGCTGACAGTGCGGTACACTGGCCCTTCGGTACTGCTGATGCTGCTCGACTGCACTGTGTCCGAGTCTCCGTCTTCATTCTCGAATGGTGTCGTTGGTGTTACCGTCACTTTGATAATCGATTCTCCAGAATCGGTTCGCTGCATTTCCCAGTAATTCGGTGTCATTGGAGTCACCAGCGTTGTTGCTTTCCATGTCTCTCCCACTACCAGTGCTATTTCCGGTTCCGTGTTTTCGCTCAATGTATTTCCAGCAACAGCGCTGCTTGAATTTCTATTATTTTGTACTGGCAAATTGTCGAAGGTACTCGATGTTGCCACGAATGGCCGCTCCTCGTCCTCATCTGAAAAACTGCAGTTTGTGTATTCTGCAAGTTTTTTCACAAAAAATCAACACGATGTCAGAGTTTATTAAATCAAGAAATACATCTGGTTAATTGGGCTCCCGAAATTCACAGATGAACACTATTTAACAAAAAAGACGCCGGAAGGTTGAAAAGTAAGAATTAATAAAAGCAGCTTAATGGCAATAGCATGCGCACATGAAATGTTCCTATGCTTTTAGCAAATTTCTTTTTATTTGTGGCTGTGCCGTTGCTTGTTTTAGTGGCCTAAGGCACTATTTAGGTAGCATAGCGCACCAGAACGTTCGATGCGATTATGCATTCTTGCGCTAAACTCGAAGCATTAAGGTGTTTAAAGTATGAATGTTTATTGATTTACAGTTTAACCTGTGCAGTTATGCTTGCTCTGTTTTGCCTTTTCTTGTATGCAGGAGGCAAAAGGCGTCGAGTGGGACGATAGTGTTACATTATAAGCCCGCGTGAAATCCTAATCTCCAACGCGCATAATTACCGTAAGTTCTATATGAAAAAAAAATGAAAAGCTTGCTGCTGCTCAGTGGAAATGCAGACTGGACAATGAGCAGGATGTGGAGAGAGAATGATGACGAAAACCGGGGGTAAAATGCACTTGTGTTTGAGATTTCAATGAAACTGAGCATTTGTCATGTCCATACACGGAATTTGGCCCCCCAGCCGAATTTAGATTGCACGTGAATACCCCTGTAAAATTTCAGTTTCGCAGTTTGCGCGGTACTCGAAATCGCCACTTCACTACAAATATCTTC